AAAAAAAAACAAGTAAAATAATTAATTTCACTTCTCTGATTAATTAAATAAATAAATAAAACCTAACTTTCAAACCTGGTTAACCTAGGGAATTAATAACACAAAATCAGAGCTGTGGTTACCTGTGAGGAAGGATTGATGAGGAACAAGAGACTCTAAGTTCCTCCTAATGTTCTAGCTCTTAAGGAACAGGGAAAATGGGTAGTTTTTTCTTAAATGATACATACTCGTTATACATTTTTAGATGTATAACATTACTTCACATTAAACAAGTGCGATTTTCCTCTCAATTTCAAGATTAAATTATACTGCCTATCCCAAAATGGGGCCAAAATGACAAATTAATTAAAGATTAGGGCTTATACTAAAGGCAAGTATAAACTAATAAACACAAAAAGAGCATATAGCCTATAAAAATTCACTTGTAATATATCAACTATACAGCAACATTGATAGAATAAAATAAAAATAAATTTTATACAAGCTAAACTCCACTCTAAAATTCTAAAATACTCTAACCAAACTTTTTACTTTCCTAAGTCCTGTACTTTGTGGTGTCTCTAAGCGTAATGTGCCTTTAGAAGGTGTAACATATATTTCTGTTCACTTGAATCCCTAAACTAGGAAACTCCAAAAAGGATGATGATCATTTAGACCAGAGGCCTGAACATTCACAACTGCCAAGCACATACCTGAATTGAGGAAGAACTGAGGAGAGTCTCCATGAATGCCTACTGTGCCTGGCCCCAAGGAGTCAGACAAGGTATTTACAAAAGAAAACACTCCACTCATGATTCCGAAGCCCAGGCCAGAAACTAAAGAGAAAGAAAAAACACTGTTAAATCCTTTCAGGCTATGATTTCTCTTCAAATCAAATTCCCAAGGACTAGGGAATACTTTCTGTTGAAGGGGAAATGGTGCTCGTGCTGTTATGGAAACCGTGGAAAGCTGGCTCAGGAAAGTCAAGTGCCTGGCTAAACAATGAGCTGAGTGAGAAGGGGGAAAGAGGAAAGGACATGAATAATGGTATGTAGCAGAGAAATGAAAAAGGAGAGAAAAAGATCTAGAAAGGCACAGAAGCAATCAGCGAGACAGAGAAGAATATGATGCTGAAACTCCGGCTTTAGTTAATGATAACAGAGCCTGCAGCATGAAATTTGATGGCTTAAGAGCTGGGACTGCGTTTGAGGGGTGACTGTGCATTGTAAGGAGTGATTCCTGGGCCAAACTGGGGTGATTCCACTTAGAGGCCTAGATACAATCTTTAAAACATAATTCTGAAAGAAAACTATGCAGAGATAGTAACTGTATTAATATGAAGAGTCCTCCTAGTACAGGCAAAGTCATGGGAACCACTTAGAGAAGGTAACAGTAACCTCACTTAGAAACTGTTACTTAACTAGAGTGCATTCATGTCAAAAACCTAACTTTCAAACCTGGCTAATATTTAATGGACACACAGATAAGAGTCACCTGCAATCACTTCCCTTTCCATAAGGGCCCTGGAAACTAGAAAAAATAACAATGTACACCAGACAGTAATAATATACTATTTGATATCTACAAAGCTATAAAAGATAAAAATGGCTTTTATGCCAAGTGTGATTTTTTTTTTTTCTTAATGACACCATGCAGTTCTAACTTACCATAGGCCAGCAATCGCATAGAAGGTGCTGTCTCATCTGGGTTTATGCTTTTCAAACCCTCATTGGCTTTTCTAAAATAAAACCAGACGGATAATTTTTTTTTTAAAAGGTAGTATATCAGGAAAATACACAAGATATTTCAAAATCCAAGTACTTACTGAGGCTTTGGATCAGATTATGCTCTAAATCTAAAATCCATGTTAATAAAAATCCAGCAAATTTTCAATTACCTGAAATCAACCAAAATTTCCAACCCACTTTTGCCTTTTATCTGACTTTCACATCAGAGACAAAAATAAGAAAGATATAAGTAAACAAGTCGTCAGGAAAAAAAGCAACATTCTGATTACTTTGTGAGCTCAGCAAATACTTAGTTCAATATCCTATGGCATCTGCCACTCTGAATTGTTTCCTCCTCCCAAAGAACTGTATCTTCAATCCCACTAGGTTGGTACTTTTTTGTATCTTCCGTCTGGGCTCTACTCCCTTTTAGTTTCCACTCTATAGAACCTCAATGGTACTCACCCTTCAAAGTCTAGCTCAGGCAGTAATTTCTCAAAGAAACCACCTTTACCAGTGATTGATGATCACTAATCTCTCCTTAATCTTAAATCCTACAATACCAATGTTATGAACTGTCATATGGGCACATAACCATATGGTCCTCTGATACTATTGCATTGTCAGAGAAGTCATGACGCATTTTTGCAACGAAAAACAGAAAAAATACGTCATGACTTTTCCGACAACCCAATAAAAGAGTTTACATATTTGGTTCATATCCCCCATCAGGCTTCAGGGGAGAAATAATCAGTGGAGAATACAATGCTACCCTGAGAAAAGGAAATAAATGAATACCTGAATGAAACATTAGAATACTGCTTAGTAGAAATGATCCTCAGAATGGACAACTCACAAACTTACCAGGAGTCCCTGTCCCCCAGGCAGATGTATTAAGAATGCAACACGTGGCTGGTCGGTTCCACTGTCACTATTACTAACCCTCGTTGGCTAGAAATTCTGCAACAATGACCCTGACTCAAAGGATATTTAAATTATATTTACTATAAATATAAATATCATTAAAGGTAAATGCAGAGTTCAACCACAAAGCAGAAAGATAAAGTCCTTTGTTTTTCTAGACTCAAAAGAAGCAATTTGCCATTGCAGTGCTCTCCATTCGGAAGCATCATTTGGTAGCAAGGACATGAGCGAAAACTTAAGTGACTGTAGTCTTCTTTCTTGGGAGCAGTAACCAACTAAAATGTCTACTTTTCCTAAAAAATAAATGTACCTGTCACAGGGATGTTGTGAAAGGCTAACTACAGCTTAAAAAGATAGATAACAGTAATAATCTCTATCAACAAATGAATACAATGATAAATCGAATCAATAAATTTTAAAGGATTTGTTTTATATAAGCTGTAATGAATAATAGATTTTTGCTATTTGGTATAGCAAAGTACTGCTATCACAAACATATTAAATGCATAAATTCAAAAGTTAATAAACTTCCTCTACATTACAAGTTCGTGGGAGGAAAGGTCTATGGCACTAACAGTTCTCCATGCCAACATTAGGAAGTGAAAAAGTACAAAACACCATCGGTTTCCATGTTCCTGACACATACAACACATGACTGATAACATAACAGTGTTTTTTATATGACCAGTGTACTGAAGTGGAAAATTCTTTGTTTGCATTTATTACAGTCTCCAAGGACAAAAAAGAAAAAGCCCAATTTTTAAAATATAAACTTTGAAAAGCCACTGGTAAATTGTATCATCTTTCTTGTTTGTTGTGATTCTTTTTTGTATGTATGTGTAAGAGAGCAACAGTACCAAAGAAAATGCATAAAAATTAAATACACCATTTTAGAAAATTTAAAAAGTCTCATTCCTTTTAAGAAATTATAGCAATGATTATCTTAACATTTTTTCTATAAATGGAAGATTTTTATAAAATTACCAAATATTTATGGTATCAACATTATAAGACAAAACTGAATAAAACTGCATAAGCTTCTTTTCAATACAAAAAAAATAATCAAGTGTATGTTTTAGACAATGTACAGGACCATAATTTGAATTTTTAAAAAGAAATTAATGTTAGAAAGAGCTATCACTTGTAGCCACAAGCCAGTTTCTCACAGTGCAACTCTTCGCTAGGCTGAAAGTTATCATTCATTTATTCATTCATTCAAAATGAGGTACTCTTCCTAAGACCTTACCCATAAAATAAATTTGTATTAGACTACAATGATAAATATTTTTATTTAAATCCATATATGTAAAAAAAATACTGGTGAAAACGCTCGACAGTTTAATCTTGGCATTAAATTCAGAGAGCAAAAATTTGACTGAGGCAGTACTTTAAACTTAAAAGTTCAAAAAACCTACTTTGGCAGTGAAATAGTTAAAATACTGATCAAACCAAAGTTCCTATATTTGAATGTAGTGTAGCATAAGAAACTTAAATGTATCTACATAAATGTTAGTCATGAACAAAGTATAATTCTCAAAATTGTTTTAATACATAACTACATAACATCCAACATTTCTAAAATTTGCTGGGAAGATATCGCACAATATCCCAAAGGCTTGTTAAAGATAAAAGGCCCTCCAGCCGAGTGGCTCAGTTGGTTAAGAGCTCGCTCAAGAGAGCAAGCTCTGAGCAACAGCAGTTCAAGTCCTGGCCCGAACTGAGCTGCCAACAGGTGGCAGGATGGCTCAGCTTAAAAAAAAAATAAAATGCAAAGGCAGCCAAAGATATCTGTTAATATAGGTTTGTCCTATTATCTATTTGCCAATTTCCAAAGCCTTTTTGGAAAAACAAAAGCAAACATGGTTTCCCAGAAGGCCAAAGAGGCTTGCTGGCCTAGGCGCCTGCAGACTGACAGCCATAATTCCTTCTGCACATGGCCTTACTCCCTCACTGCCCTCATTAAAAATGTCAATCAATGTTCAGGGTGTAGCCCTTTGGAACCACAGACTAGTGCCAATACTAAGTTGCATTTCAGGTGGGAACCATGAAGAAACAAGCAGAGACCCATTTAGCCACTCCAGGTAAGTCAGGTATGAGAACCTCAAGTCCTAACAGGTAACTAAACCCATGTCCTAAACTGTGACAATCTACTTGAAATTAAGTTTGTTTCAAAATTAGAACCATCACATGTAAACATGCAAAACCAACTGAGCTGATGATATTGCTGAGAGGAAAACCCAGTGCAACCTGAAGCTGAGTTAAGAGTACAGGGCCCAGTCAAAGTTGGGAAGGGCTGCTGTTCTCTGCATGAATTCTTCGATCACAGCGGGGTACTCTACTGGGTCCTGAGTACAGGTAAACTCCAGGCACTAACAAAAAGGCACATGCCTACTGACATAAAAGAACAGCGACTGGAAAAGGTTTAGAAGCCATATCCATGTCTTCTGAGGGCCAGGTGAGAAAATGAGGACAGTTTAGCCATGAAAGAGTCAAGAAGGCTACCATGTGACAGAGGTTTCATTGGACTGTGTGGCTCTTGATTGGGGCAGAGGTCAGGAAGAGGGAGATTTTTGACTACCTTAACAATATTCTACAGTTAAAATTAAAGTTTGGAATGGTAATAACTGCTGCATACCAGCGACATTCAATCACAGATGAATGTCCATCTGTTCAGGATACTGTATTCCCATGGAAACTTAAATGCTATTTTTTATATTTATTGGTTGCTTTTTAATATTTCCAAGAACTAATGGAAATTTCATTTTTAAACCTTTTCTAAGACTTTTGTATGTAAACAATGGCTTCATGGTTTTAAATTTGTAATTTAAATTGTTTCATTATTAAATTCAAATATCTGTTATTAAAAGTAACAAGTAAAAAATGTTGAAGCCTAGCATATTGGTAAGAACAAATTATCAGAAGCTTATTATAAGAGATATTGTTGAGGTTCGGTCTTAGTTACATCCATGAAATTCAGGAAGTGGCTTAATTATCTCATTTGCCAAAATGAAAAGAAATAGCACATTTATCATTCTAAGTCTTACTGCATGATCAAAGCCAATCTAATGACTGCCTGAAAGAAAATGCGGTTTCAAGTTCAAGCTGTGTTTCAAATCAGTGGTTTCATGTGAGGTCCTCATGGGTCCTACAGATGACCTACTTTCTGGCCTAAAGTTCCCTGAAGGGAACTCACACCCATAGCTTTTTTAAAATGTGCTTTTTTATTTCAGATATGAAGTCAAATGAAATGTCACAAAATGAACCTCTATTTTCCCTAATACAGTCAAAATAATGGTAGGCATAATCTCTATAAGAATTATTTATTTTAGTTGGTGGCAAAGGGAAGCTAATACAAATTCTAAAGTGAAACTTTTTCTGTTGTTTCAGTGACTATATCTCTAGCTTATTTTTCTTCATGGAACTTATTAACTTCATGCATTTTCTTCCTCACTCATTTGTTGTCTATCTTGGCTATACTATAATCTCCATAAGGACAGAAACTGTCTTTTAATTATGACGTATCCCCAGGGCCTAGAATAATGCCTCGCATTGAGTAAATTCTTTTGAATGAGTGAAAAAAGGAAGGAATGTTCACAAGTTAAAATACTCAATATTTTCAGTTTGGAAATTTACCAATCTCTTGGCTTCAAAACAATGTAGGAAGGCACGAGCCCTCAAATACCACACACTACATTAATGATTCAAATTACTAAAACGTAATTCAAATACAACTGGGGGAAAAAAGGTAAACAAATATTTTACTTACTTTAAAAGTTTATAATATGCAAACCGAAACATTTCTTGGATAAGGACTGAGATTAACACGCCAAACATCAGCAGATATTTCTGTATTGGTCCATCTTTGTTGTCAGTAATGGTTCTTGCCAGGAACCAGACAAGGGAGGAAAGCAGTAGAGATAGCAACCAAAAGAAAGCCCTGAAAATTAGGAAAAAGCAAAAGTTACTAGTAAACGTAAGTACAGGATTAATAATGACATAGAAGTGAAATAAGACCCTGCTTGAGGAGATTTAATAAGGAAAAATAACAACACCAAACATGCTCCTAAAGTGATGTTCTGAATCAATTGTTCTTAATCAGTGGTGAATTTTTCCTGAGGAAATGAACATGCAGTCCAAAAGGAATTTGGGATTTTTCCTAACAATCATTCTTTTTCAGTGACTCTGTTATTTGTAAGTACGTCTGCAGACTATCTGCCAAGGACTGTCTAGTTGGAAATTTGATTATTTGCTACTCTTCCTAGTTAATGCTTTGCCCATTGATGTGCAAATATGTGTCCTTTCCAGAAAAATGTTCACCTCTCTATTAACAGAGTGATTAGGATAAAATCCAAAAGTTGAAAGCCTGAGCTCTGATCTAGATCAGTTTTCCAGCCCGGGTTTTTATAACATTCCTGTGGATTTTAATGAGTATAACAAGCTTTAGAAACCTTTTGCCCAAATCTCTATTGCTTTTAAAATGACTGTGATGCAGCACTTTTAATACAATTGAGAGGGGTGAAAAAGCTCAGAAAAGGTGGGCATGCCTAGCCTGGCTGTGTCTCCTGGTGGAGGGGGTGTGGGGAGGAGCCCCAGTAAGAGCTGACAGATGGATGAAAACTGGGATTATGACCGCATTCACCACCAGAGTTCGGTATTCACCAAGCTCGTGCAAGAAGACGCACTGACAGGTGTTTCAGGGTTTGCCCTTTGGCTGTACACCTGAATCACCTGGGGAGCTTTAAAAAAAACAAACAAAAAAACCCGTAGGCCGAATCCCACTCCCTAGATATTCCAATACAGTTGATCTCGGGTAGGGGATTGGGTATGTTTTAAAGCACCTGACACCCAGGTGCTTAATGGCTCTTCACCCCTTTGGGATTACAGATGCCTGGGAGAAACTGAGGGAAACTAGAGACCCGCTCTGCAGAAAAATAAAAGATGCATATTTGAACTTATCTGCAATTTTTTTTTCATACAATTTTAGTGGCTTCACGACTCACTATAGCCCACCACGGACCCTAAGCAAAAACTCAGCGCCAAGCACCACGGTCTTCTGAGACCCACAGTGTGAGCTCCTTCCCAGAGCTCGCCCTCTGGGGTCGTGAGGCTCTTGCTCTTTTCCTGCCGACCCTTGGAGGAGGGCGAGGAGTCCGAGGGAGCGAGGTCTCTGCTCTCCCCTTCTCAATCCTTCTCCCCTCCAAGGCCCAGCAAGGTCGAGCCGTCTGGTGGGGACACTGGGGGTCGCCAGGCAGGGGAGGGGAGCCCCGGTCCGGGTTTCCCGGCGCAACCGCCTCACCCGACGATGAGGAAGATGACGCGCAACGGCTCCGTGGCGATAGTGAAGATGTAGAGAGCGAGCGCAGGCCCGAAGGCAATAAAGGTGCAGCCGAAGAACACAGCCGCCGTCATGGCGACCGAGAAAGCGGGCCCGGGAGCCGGGTAGGGATGCGAGGTGCACAGGGCGGCGGCCGACCTGAGCGTGGGGCGGGGCGGGGCGGGGC